TTGCCGAACCTTAAACATCACTTGGCGTAAAAATACCGACAAATGCTAAGCTAAATTTTTTTTGGCGATACCATATAAAAGCTTGCCCCTCTAAGTTGCCGTTAACCAAAAAACAAAGTCCTACTGTCCAACAACACGGAAACCTACGGACGATCCACCCACCGTTTTGAAAGGTAACTGAATCCCAAACGTTAATCTGCATTTGTTCTCCGATAGTTCACACTTTATCTGCAATATCTGCAATTTAATTTTTCGCTGGATTAACTATTTCTGTGGCACTTTGTCCATACTCATATACACTACTCGTTTTTTCTTCATTTCCTCTACCATTATAATTTGTTGTCTTACTTATCAATGCTTTTGAAGGGAACTTCAAAGATGGCATTTGCGCTGAAGTAAATCTTAAACTCAAATTCTCTTGCAATTTATTTCATTGATTAATGCTGTGCAGTCAAAGCTGTTCCGTTCGGCAACAGTGACAAACATCTTCACATACGAACTTAAAAGACGTACACGACAGTAGCCACCAGATGTTCTACAGATCACTCCATCGGTGATAAATACAGGGAACAGTTGAAACGAAGATGTGCCATGGAATCAGCGTAAATACGTAAATTCGGATTTTAGGTCGATGCCATCATTTCGAATGTTGGCATCTGCGACCAATTCCTTCACGGAGATATTGCGCTAATTTCTTACACGTTAAATAGTTTCACAATTTGTTCATCGTTGCAGACGATGAATCATTTCTGAAACCAGATACGTGGTTATATCTAACTGTTATGTTTTAGCGTTTTGTGTACCTCTGGTAAAATTGGCACTTTGTAAAGTAGCTCAGATTAGTCGTGAAGGTCTTGTCAGCTGTATGATCATCAGTTACATTATTTCCCGTCTGCATCTCCAACCCTTCTGTTCAGCAGAATTCTCTGTAATTTATGTTTATGCGCGTACCTTTCAGCGGCAACTCGCACTGATGCATCTGATACCTGAAAAAATAAGCACAAAACATTTATTTTCTTAAGTTCTTTCATAGATGCTGAAGAAGCTAAAACGAAGCGTCATGAAGAAAATTTTTATTTTACGGTGTGGTAGAATGTCGACTGTGCGATAGTAGAGGACGGCTAAATGCCTGAATTTGAATTACGGACTCGGTAAACTTTTATGTAACTTTTTATCCAATACCTGTAGCAAGGCGAAACTGCCTAGATGACACAATGTTTCTGTCTGCACATGTAGTATATTATGCCTATTTAAACAGAAACTTCATTTAAAAATTTTCTTTAAAATTCTGAGTAATTCAAGTCAAATTCTCTGCCGTAGCAAATTGAGGGCATCTGCTTCTCAGAAATTCTAGGTACAGGTACTACCCTACTAAGTACAGAGAAACAACGCACCAATGACTTACAGAACATAGCAAAAACACGTATGAATAAATACAGGATGGCCCTCCATTCATTGTTAAACTTACTTACTGTACACTTCGCAGACCGTAGTTTACTACTTTATGTATATATGACTGACGAAATGCTCATAACTGTACAAGGATCGAGTCGGCAGAGGCGAAACTAAGAAGTGATTTTCATAAGTTAATTCTAGCATCACCAATCACCTTTCCCTTGTCACGTAAATTATCCTGACTTATCAAAAAATATGAGCTACTATTGTGTCACGGCTTAGCTGAATGTCTCATGTTTTTTGTCGATCAAACAGTATGCATTTAAGCCAGAGAAAGTAAATGGTGGAAAAGCTGGTGGAATTCAGTCCAACCTGTGTTGCCGGGCCGTTGAGTAAAAACGTTTTTTAACCATTTGGAAAGAGTCAGGTGGAATAACATAAAAACTAATTATTTCATCCTTCCGAATGAATTTTTGAGTGACTTGCAACTTAAGGCCTAAATTAAGAAACCAGTGGAGGGCAGCTCGATGTCGTAGATTCTTTTGCACACTGCTTAGTTCAAAGGGTGGAAATTCAGCGATAATGCCATTTTTTATTTTACTTCCGCTCTGTACTCGCTTTAAAGCGAGTATAAAACAGAGGTTTGATAATGCGTCGGACATTCTTCAGACAGACAAATCGCATAGCCATATTTCTCCACTGTGGCATAACAAGACATAACAAGAAAATATGAAAGTACCACGCACAAAACCATTGAAATACATTCGAATGTCTGGGAATCGAAAAACACATAGTCATATATTTGAGACTGCAGTGTGGTGAAATAAAACAATGAAGAAGGTTTGGTATACAATCCGGCTTTCGCTGACATCTGTTGCACTCGGAAACGGTATGCATGCTGTGTAAAGTGAAAGTGAAGCTCTGAACTTTTGGGCATTACAGTTCT